AAGAATTTAATGCTCTTATTGCTAATGATACGTGGGATTTAATACCCAGTGATACAACAAAAAATGTGGTTGGATGTAAGTGGATTTATAAAACGAAATACCGTTCTGATGGGTCTGTTGAGCGGCACAAGGCTCGTTTGGTCGCTCAAGGGTTTAATCAACAGGCTGGGATAGATTTTTTTGAGACCTTCAGTCCGGTGGTTAAACCCACCACAGTTCGTCTTGTTCTTTCTATTGCTATTTCCTCAGGTTGGGCGGTGCGTCAGTTAGATGTCAAAAATGCGTTCCTTCATGGTCATCTCACAGAAGAGGTTTACATGCGTCAACCACCAGGTTTTATTCATCCATCCTATCCTTCTCATATCTGTAAACTCAAGAAAGCTCTCTATGGTCTGAAACAAGCACCACGTGCTTGGTTTCATCATTTCAGTGGTTTTTTATTGTCTCATGGCTTCTTACAAAGTCAGTCCGATTCTTCTATGTTTACATACCACTCTCAGTCTTGCACTATTTATATATTATTATATGTTGATGACATTCTTATCACTGGTAATTCTGAGTCTTTTGTTCGGCAATTTATACGTCTTTTATCCCGTCAGTTTGCAATGAAAGATTTGGGAGATATTCATTTTTTCCTTGGCATTCAGGCTCACCGTAACCCCAAGGGTATTTTTCTGTCTCAACAGAAATATGTCAATGACCTACTTCACCGTTTTCATCTTCATACTGTGAAGCCTGTTCGAACACCCCTCCCGTCTCGCACCACACTGTCTCTTACAGATGGGGATCTTCTTAGTGATGGTACTAATTATCGCAGTATGGTAGGTGCATTGCAATATCTGACTATTACTAGACCCGACATTACTTATGCCGTACATTTGGTTTCTCAGTTTATGTATGCTCCCCGTACTACTCATCTTGCTGCAGTTAAAAGAATTTACAGGTACTTACAGGGCACTTCTTCTCACGGCCTATGGCTTCGGGCTGGACAGAGTATTTCCCTGATTGTTGCTTATTCGGATGCTGACTGGGCTGGATGCTCGGACTCTTGCCGATCCACTACGGGCTATGCTATTTTTCTCGGTGGCAACCTTATTTCTTGGCGCTCCAAAAAGCAACCCACTGTCTCCAAATCTTCCACAGAGGCTGAGTACCGAGTTGTGGCTTACACCGTCCAGGACACACTATTTATTCGGTCATTACTTCTAGACATGGGCATTCGGATATCCTCTCCTGTTCAACTGTTCTGTGATAATGTCTCCGCCTCCTACCTTGCAGTTAATCCCATTTAGCATGACCGCAACAAGCACATCAAGATCGATTATCATTTTGTTCGTGAAAGAGTAGCACATGGGGATCTCGTTGTTAAGTACACTCCCACTCAGTATCAGCTCGCTGACATTTTTACTAAGAATTTATCTAGTCAACGTTTTGAGTTTTTACGTTCCAATCTGCACGTGGTTTCCCCAGCACAGATTGAGGGGGTATAATAGTGTAATTATAAGGACTCTTATGTAATTACTCTTAATACTCTTTATTATAAATATCATACGAGGGCTACCTATTGGGTAAGCCATTCTGTCACAATTATTCTTTCACAGTATCTATGTAGGCCTGTCAATGGGTCGGGTCTAGACCCGAACCCGACCCGGACCCGGATCCGGACCCATTAGTATATTTTTTTGGATGAAATGTAAAGTATATATTAACACCCAAAGAAATAACAAGTCAATGTTACAAACAAAGTGCGTATCCCAATAAATGGGATACCACAGGATCAAGACTAACATCCTCACAAGTCAAACATATTGAACCTCAACAACATTAGGAGCAATAATAATCTGGAAGAACAAAACATCAACACAAATTAGGTAGCCCTAATTTAACATCCAAGGAAAAACAGGAAAGGAGTAGTGAACTTTGAATCAAAGCAAACCTCCCCTTTCTTCTTTGTAACTCCCGGCAATCCTTCAAGACATTTCGCGGTAAATGTTAGGCCCTTCTTATCCAAATCGTCCGTAAGTCGCAGAGAGGTATCCACCCTAATCACACTAGCAAGCACGAACCTAAACGGTTTGACAACTAATTTAAGTGTCTTACCGTTTATTATCTCACATTTGATGACCACATCGTTCTCCTTCACATCACTTTGGTCCATAACAGTCCTCTCAACATCTTCCAAGACAGCCTCAAAGGCTTTATCCACCTTAGAAAATCCCTGGGCAGCTGGTACAGCAGTTGCAGTCCCCTGTTTTGCATTCTGCCCGACAGACCCGGTCGAGTCTTTGGTATGCCCGGGCGGGTAAGCAGCAGGTTCCACAACTGCTGCAGTTTTTTCAAGAGGCCTGGTCAGGACAGAGGTACACCCGGACGGGTATCCCTGGGCAGCAACATCTGTCCGAGTGGCCACACTCTCAATATCCTTAGTTGTTTCAACTCTCGGTTCTTTTTCGATCACTTTCTCATCAACCCTTTTGGCTAGCTTTTTACAAATAAAAGGGTGGTGCCCAAATTCTTTGCAATGAAAGCAATAATTAGGAAAAGTTTCATAAAGCACACTTTGTTTGATTACCTTTTTGGAAGGTAGTCGTATAGGAAAAGAAAGTGGTGGTGGCTTTGAAACATCCACTTCAATAAGCACTCTAGCATATTCATTATTTGCCCTCTCTTGAGTAATCTTATCCGTGGTTATTGGGACCCCAATCATAGATGCTACTTCACTCATAGCTTCATCATTCCATAGCTTCATTGGTAATTTAGGGAACTTGACCCAAATTGGTACTTTAAGAAACTCCTCATCCTCAAACGAGAAGTCATCCGAAAGTTCTTTTAGCATAAGGAGTTTCCCAAACACATTGTAAGGACCGTCATGTAGTACCTTCAATCTATCCTCCTCATTTGTGAATTTAAAGATTACCCATCCCTTGTTATGGGACCTCACAAGACATCTCACACCCCATGTAGCTTTAAGATCATGAACCGCTTTGAGTCCGGGGAATTTTCCAGTGAAATGTCCAACTAGGCAATAGCCCCACATTTCGACCATGGAAGGTAATACACGATCACCAAAGTCCAAGGTTTCCCCTTTAGGAGGGACATATCTCAGTTTGATGCCGTGCTTGGGATCACGGTTATCCCTAAAAAGGGCATTCCAAGGTTTGGCCTGGGCTGCCTGCTCATTATTAGTTTCTGCCAAACTTTTGGCCGTATCAGCTTTTGTCAAAAATTTTGCAGTTTGGGAAGTAGATGGCTTCTGTGAAGCAGGTGGTTTAGTCACAAGTTTCCCAGCAATAGCACCTGACTTCCCAGAAGTAGTAAAATCCCCAGAAGCAGGTGGCTTCGCAGCAACTAAATCCCCAGGTGCTCCAGCGTGTGGTTCAGTCGCAGGTGAAGCATGAGCTGGCAATTTTTTGGATTTCCCAGCTCTCCTACTAGTCCCAGAATCCTCACAATCTATTGACTTGCTCGTTCCTATCTCAGGAGCTTCGAATACCTGTTTTTCTACAGCTGGAGCACTCCCAAGTTCTGGGAAATCATCATCTGTACCCTCAAGTAATGCAAACCTAGACCTGGTGTGTCTCGTTGTTGCAGAAGACTCAACCTTACCCTGTTTTGACCTCGCCATTAAGTTACAGCAGCAGAAATCAAGAACACCCTGAGCTTGAGCAACCTGCGTCGTAGAAGAAAGCAGATGACTGAAATCGTTTCAGACCATCAACTTCTTCCACCTCGCAAACAAGTACTGAGGCTACACCATAGGCCTGTGCGTCCTAAGCAAAGCTCAATTCCAGTACAGAACTACAGATTATGCGAACCAGCATTAGTATATTTAATAAATGGGTCGGGTACGGTACATATGATTCCGACCCGTTAAGGACCCGGACCCGTTAAAAAATTCTTATTTGTATACTAACACACTAATACATAAAGTGATTAGTTATAACACTTCAAATAAAAAAATACAAACTAATACACACACAAATATATACATAATAATACATAAAATTATTACTTATAATTCTTCAATTAAAAATATGCGTACTAATACATACCTATCATATGAGTGATAATGATCGAGATAGTGTCATAGCATAAAATTAATACCCATTTTGGCCGTTTATTCATAGTGATTAATATGTATTTGGCTCGGTAAGCAACGCACAATATTCATCATTCTTATTGTTGTTGTTATTATATATTCTTTTTTTTGTTATTATATATTCTTATTAATATTATTATATCATTATTATCATACACTCCGTACACTATGTGTTTATACTCTCAATAGTCCAAGACACCTTTTGTAACTTAATTTGAAGTCTACTCTACGAGCTCTATGTACGAGAAAAAGTGACAGAGTGTGGAGTTATACGCAAGAATCAACACCTTATTGGATAAAAGTACTAATATGAGAAACCTTGATATTTTTTTTAAAAAGTGAAGATATATTTTGCTTTTTAGTTTGCACACTTTTCTTTACATTTTACATACAAGTCTTGTTATTTTCAAAAAATTTACAAGGGTATCATACTTGGCGGGTCTACCCGACCCGGTTCCGAGACCCGTTGGGTCCGGGTTTGGATCCAAAATTTCAGACCCGCCGGGTAAACGGGTCGGGTCTGGGTCTATCATTAACTTAGCGGGTCCGGGTCTGGAACACTACGTTCCGACCCGGACCCGACCCATTGACAGGCCTACATCTATGTTAAGCTTAAGTCTATTCCTCATTTATGTCTTTAAGAAGAAAGAAAAATAGTGAAAAGTAAAAGCATTGAGACGGGGAGGATTGAACTACAACAAATATGGATTTGTCCTAATATCTCCCGCATAATAACGTTGATAATGAATGTGTAATGCTCCACCTAATCCTGGCAATATTGTACAAAAAGTAAAAAATATACACGTACAATAAATTATTTTGAAAAGTGAAAACACAACGTCGATATGTCCGAGTGGTTAAGGAGACAGACTCGAAATCTGTTGGGCTTTGCCTGCGCAGGTTCGAATCCTGCTGTCGACGTTTAATTTTTTTGAACATTTTTCATTTCTTATTTTATCTTCTAGAAAATCAGAAACATGGAAGCAAATACATCGGCCTCCGCCTCTGGGGTGGATTTTGCAGCGGCGTTTCACTCATGGCGGCCTCTCTTTCCTTAAATCTCAACTTCATTTTGCGGCTACCGTCAACAACCGCCCGCCAACCGATCTCCGCCGCCTCCAGACGCTACATTCCGGTGCGATGTGGGAACGGGCCACGGAGCAACCGGGGACCGCTGTACAAAGGCCGAATTCTCAGCACTGAGGCGATTCAAGCCATCCATGCTTTAAAGCGTGCCCAGAAAAGAAACCCTTCCTCCATCGACTCCTCCATCGTTTCTTCTACACTTTCCCGCCTCCTTAAGCCAGACCTTCTCGCCGCTTTCAAAGAGCTTATCCGCCAAGACAACTGCGATTTGGCTCTCAAACTCTTCTCCGCCCTTCGACTGGAATACGACGCGCCGGAATTGAACCTGTACGCCGAAATAGCTGCCGCTTGTGCTAGGAAGGGCTTGACGGAAGACATCGACCGCTTGATTTGCGATTTGGAGAATGAGGGTGCGATTCACCTTGACGCCTCCAATACCAAGGGGTTGGTCAAGTTGGTCAAGGCCTTGATTGATGCTGGGAGGGCGGAGGGGACGGTTAAAGTTTATCAGCTCCTTAAGAGGAGTGGTGCTGAACTTGATGATTATCTGGCTGCAGTTTTGAGAAAGGGATTGAGGAGTTTCGGGAAGGAGGAGGAAGCGGCTGAGCTTGATTTGGCATTAGACAGATCTTCCAGGGGCATTGTAGCCGTGTAGATGAAAATCCGAAAATAGTCCAACTGTGTAAAAGTTTTTGAAAAAGAATGAACAATTATATCAACTGTGTATTATTCCAACTTGGATGAATGTTCTGTGGTTCTCAGGCAGATGCAGACAGTCTTGACTTTGCAATGTCAACCGTGCTACTACATCTTGATATGGTACTTTTCTATAATGAAGGTACTCTCATGACACCCTTGGCTAATGGATTCTATGAAGCATTAGTACATCGATCGAAGGAACTTTAAAAAACTTGAACATCAAATTGTTTTCTTTCGTTACATCATTTGTATCAGCCAGGAGTGTGGTTTCATCGGGGCAGAACCTCATTTTGTACATGTTTGATACGGTAAGAATTCTGACATAGTTTTCTGCTTGATGCTGTTATGGACATTCAAACTTGGTATTTTTAATCACGTGTGCTGTGAGGTGTGAGTGTGTGACTATGTGAAACATCTGGTACAGGATGTAACCCCCCCCCCCCCCTCCCCAATTGCTGTAAAAGTGCTGCTTTGGGCCATGAAAGATTACTTAGGAAACAGTCACTTACTCCTCTAAAGCTTATACATTTATATCCTTTCTAGAGAAGGAAAAAAAACCTATTCTGCACCGTGGCGTTTAATCTTATACACTTGTCAAAGTGTCAAACCCGTGCAAAACTCTAATGCAGGACATCGAGAGTTTTAGGTTGGTCTGTTCTTGGCTGGTTACTTATAAACCCCTGGCAAATTTTTTTGGGACATCCAAAAAAGGAAATTTGGCCAACCTTTTCGGGACGGAGGGAGTATCTCTATGAATTATGAATGTATCGCATAGTTCTTAGTAGCATTTGATGGATACAGCATATTAGGGTTTAGACTCAGTGGACGTGTTATTATGTCTTTGGTGTTAGTCTCTTTGAGTAGTTGCTATCCTGAATAATTTAGTAAGGTCTGGCCTAAAGCCTGATTACTCAATGGACTCGGAAAATAGAAGGGGCGGGGGTGATGGATAACTGGAAAAGTTGAACAAGATTCTTTGAACAGGATAGTAGTTGATTTCTTATCTGATGCCTCCTACCCCAAAGTACAGATGTTTATCCAACACAACCTGTGTGGAGAATCACTGAAGTAGGATCACATCACCTTAGTAGATAATAAATTTGTCATATCTGAGTACTTCCTGCATGCTTACTCAACATTCATGATTGCAAAATGAGGCTATACTTGACACAGACTTGTTAAAAGTTACAAAAAGCGAGCTTAAGCCCCAACGCCCAGGTGAACAATGGCTTTGCACATAGCTTTTACAAATCAACGGGGGTGAGAGAGCACCGCTTTTCCATCTCTTTTTATTCAGAGCTTAAGCGCAAAAGAGACACTGTTGTAGTTTGTACGCTTCCACAAAAAGCAGACATTTGACTGGTTAGTTAAAATTAGATTAATTTTATTTATTTATTTTTGGCTAGGGTTTTCATCATTTACAATGATGACAAAGACCCACTATTTTTTGGCTTGGAAATATGACGGGATAGAGCAAAATGGCACAATAATTTTTCGACGCGAACTATTAACACGATTTTCATCATAGGTCATCCGGAAACAGCCTCTACGTGCTTTAGTATAGAGGAGTAAGGCTGCGTACATCCGACCCCCCTTACCCCATCAAAGGTGGGAGCTTTTGCGGCACTGGGGTAATGTTGTTGTTTTTGTTAATTATTTTTAGCTAGGGTTGCATCTTTGACTCTTTTTAGTTTAATCTCATAAAAGGCTTCTCCTGTTCTCCTAACCTTCTAGACTGCACAGCGGTCTTCTGCTAGCTTTTCTGTCGACGTATTCACTCCAGGCAGATTATTAAATGAATTGTGAACTTCATCTTGCATTCTTAGTCAGTAGATACTTATTAAGTGCAGACTTCTTCTTCTATCGCATTGACTTGTTCTTTTATCTTGCTCTGTTTTTTATTTATGGTTATTATTCACTGAGGAAATTGTTTTTATAATTATTCGTCAAGTCTAGCTTGTGTCAAAATGAGGAAAATCCTAAATGCTTGAAAAATTACTAGAGCGAGTTTACTGTTCTGCTAAGCTTCTGGCTTTCACTAATTAAGGAAGATTGGCGGGAGAAAAATTATTTGAGCGAATCTAGCGGTTCGGGTTTCAGTAATTGAGCAAAATTCCATGAACGAGTTTGCATGGTTTTACACCTTTACATATTCCATTTTTTCATTTCCTTGTCCCATTTTTACACGAAATTACTCTGTTTTTCCTATTTTAATAAACAAAAATGGTCTTTCCAGTATTGGTTATGTCAAAGAAATCCTTAGAAACCGTTATCAGTGATGCTAACGAACAATATTTGAGAATGGAGAAGGAAAACTTAATAAAACTTATTGTTTTCAATCCTTGACAGCCAAGTGGCTAGCCCAAAGCCTGCAATTGTTTTAACATATTTGTAGAAAGTTGAGTGAGTACACCTACTTCATTATAAGTTTTGGAAATATCTCTCATGTATGTTGTTACTGGTATTCTGTATATGTAGAAGTATTATTATGACTGTTTATGTCTTCTTTGTTTTGGTATACATTATGCATAATTTTTATTTTTATTTTTAATAGTAGCGTTTTTTTTGTGAGAAAGCTGCGCCGCTACGGTTTGCTTAGAGCTTTCGCTTTTAATGAAAGCTCAAACTCATAACTTTTTTTCTCTTTTCGCTCTAAATAAGTTTGACATATCGGGCAGTGTCAGGCTGAGCCGTATGCCTTGTGGTCCAATTTGGCAAGGGTTAAGCAATATTTTGTACCCTTACCATTGATGTTATTCATTGAGCAGTCAGATACTCAGATTCAATTTCAACCTTGTTAATATTTAGCTTCTCACCCATCTAGATCGTTTTAAGCTCAGCATTTATTACTTTTTTGTCTCCAGCTTCAATTCCAACTCTGATTAGGAATGGACCATGTTTATCCCATCTAATTCCACCCAGAATAGCTTCTTTCTCTTTAAAGCTTACATCAACATTAAGCTTTAGACGAGATTCTGGGTCTTTTCCAGTGCTAGAAATACGGCAAATACCATCACAACAGTTTTGCCTTGGATTTAATATTATAATTATCCAACATAAGTAGATGACCAGAGACACCTTGGATTATCCCCTCCTTGGTAAACTTAATGCTTTCTTGCTTGTCAATATTTTTAAAATACCATATAAACCAGATGCAAATTACTGGGATGCACTGATCCAGTGTTTCTGGGTGTTTTGTAACAACCAATTTATGGAGAAAGATGCTGGACTGACATATTCTGATCTTTATGTGATGCTTAAGCTGATTGTTTGATTAAATATTGACTGTGGAGTTTCTTGGATTTATTAAATATTTTAGGAAAAATATAAAATAATAATCTAATATTGACTACGATTATTGTTGAATGGTCTCAACTGTAGGAACCATTTGCCAAAAGTCTCTCATCTGCCACAACTTGAAACAACATTTTATTTTTAAACGAGAATTAAGTGTAAGCTATAAATAATTGAAATTATAGGTGTGCTCTTTTTATTAATTCCAATTATCAACTCTCAAATTTTGAAAAATGTAGAAGTGTTCATCTAACTTCCAAATTAATTTTTTTAAAACACGCAAAAATAAGTATTACATTCTAGAATTGTATTGAGGTTAAAACAATGTTTATTAGTCATTTTTATTTTGTTATATTTCATTTTTGTTTTCCAAATCTTTCAATTTTTCCACTTGTGTTATAAATACAAGATTTTGTATTATTTTTCCAATTTATGATTTTGTATTATTGTCCTTTATCCAAATTTACAGTTTTTGTATTAAAAGGGTATACGCTGATTTAGAATTTAAGGAAATATATAGGCCCTTTTCAATTTTTTTTCCCCAGAAAAAGACTACTCGTATTTTATTTAATGGTAAAATTGTTCCATTTTATGAATGAAAGCTACAATGGCCATCTCAATCATTCGTAAGAATTTGTTTTTTTTTATATCGTGAATTTGTTGTTATTATGCTATCTTAATCCTAAAAGGCTAAAAGTATAAATTTTCCATTTTTTCTATTTTAATATTTTTAATTTCTATCTACTTTCTTAACTTTATATTATATTCTATAAATTACGTAATAAGTATGATATACGTAGTAGTTTATAGTTTAGATTTTAAGATTTAGCGTATAGGGCTTGAGGTTTTGGCTATTTTTTATGAAAAGATGTTATAGTTATAATTTTAAGTAATTATGAATTTGTAAATAATTTCGAAAAGTGTAAATAGTTTGAAAAAGAGATGAAAACGCATGGATAGAGGGAAAAAGGGAGAAAAGTAATAAAATTCATGTGGAAAAGATATCAAAATAGGAGAGTGGTACACTGGTGCATAAGTGCATTCGTGCATGTAATAAAATATTTCCAGAGGAAAAAATTCACGTGAAAAAATAGAATGATCATAATTTGAATTATTATAAATAAATGTCACAATTGGGATGATTTAGGAATAATCCATAGATAGATTATTCATAGCAGATTGAAAATAAATGAATTATATTATGTGGTTTTCATAATCACAAAGAAAATGTTATTGGGATAATGACCCAAGCTAATATCGTCGGCGCAATAAAGAGTTAGACTGACCCAAGACCTATTAGCCCAAAACCTCTTCTACACCGTAGTTCTTCCCCTACATTGGGCTCCCCTAATGGTCCCCATCCTTGTAAAAATCATAGTCTATATTGGTACCTATAAAAGTGATCAGGCTTAGACGAAAGATATACGATAGTACATGGTTTTCTCCCACTTGGTTTAAAAAGTAAAAACAAAGTTTGTGTTTTTCTATCTCCATACTTATCCTAACTAATATTCTCCTAGTCTCATAAAATTTTGTACGAAGTATTCTTAAAATTTTGTAACTTTTTTCTTTTAATCAATTAATTTGTAGTTTCTATTATATCTCTCACCTCTAGTCAATTAATTTGTGGTTTCTATTATGTCTCTTACCTCTACACAACACTCAATCACATAATTTTTATTTCATTACTTTTTGTGTTGATCAAACTTGTCAAAGTTATGAGAGACAGAGGAAGTATGTTCTTAGGGGGTGTATTGAATATGGATTGGTACTTTTTTAATCCATGAGCTTTTTAAAAAATCAATGAACTTTTAAATCCATTGACAACTTTATAGATTTCAAAAAGTCTATAGACTTTTAAATCCGGATCGCCACTGTCAGTACTCGGAATTTTCACATAGATCGCCGCTAGCCCGCTATTGATCTACCTGTCCGCCCCCATCACTGAAGTTTGCCGTTGTCGTCATCTGATTGATCCGCCGACAACAAAATGACTTTGATTATGCAAGGGAGTTTGGGGAAATTAATTATACTAATTATTTAAATTAGGGGTAGAAATGTAATATTTAGTTCTATTTAAAAAAAACTTATGATCATATTTTGAAAAAATTATACTCCCTCCGTCCTTAAATAAACTTCCAACTTTCCTTTTTCGTCCGTCCCAATTAAAACTTCCACTTTCCCTTTTTGGCAAAGAATTTGTGGTTCATA